CCAGCTCTCCCATCTTGTTACTGAAACATAACTCTATCCCATCTTTGACAACCAGCTCTCCCATCTTGTTACTGAAACATAACCTCATCCCATCTTTGATAACCAGCTCTTCCATCTTGTTTCTGAAACATAACTCCATCCCATCTTTGATAACCAGCTCTTCCATCTTGTTACTGAAACATAACTCCATCCCATCTTTGATAACCAGCTCTCCCATCTTATTACTGAAACATAACTCCATCCCATCTTTCTTTGACAAACAGCTCTTCCTTCTTCTACTGAAACATCAACTCCATCCCGGGTTTGCCAGTGTTCCTACATTCCAACATTTAACATTCCAACAGAATATTTCCTTCCACAAATGACTGACAAACTAGCAGCTTAAGGAGTCAATCCATTCAATACCACTTAGGTACCACCAACAGCCACCACCTGATTCCATTTAGTGAAAAAGGAAACTGAAAACCTGATAGTCAGTTACTTCAATTTGGAAGCAAATATCATTTATATTAGCATTGTCCATAGTGGCATATCGACAAATAATGATCACAAAACAATGTGTTTCAGGATACAGTCCCTTCACAGATAACGGTCACTATAATCCATGTTTAAGACTTCAGTTTAATGAGATTTCATGGCTATACGAATTTGTAAACATAAATCATGGGTAACAAGAAGCAAGTATCTTGATTTGCCTGAATCAGCCTCGACACACAACTTCTAACAATGACATTCAAAACACAATGAACCCGAACTAAGGTTCAATAAACTGGCCTACTCTAGTAAACTCCATTAATGTAAGCAACATTTTTACACTGGATGTCTCTGTTCAAACACATAGTTAAAAAGAACTCTCTGGGTCTCTGTTTCTTTAAATCCAGTCTTATATTTATTCAAGCCAAAGAGACTGAATATCTTGCATTGCATCCTGTTATCAAAGATATTGAGTGGTCGAAGGATATCTTTAAAAGCTTTTAAAACAAATTCTCAAATGAATAAAAATCATGAGATATCCCAATACAGAGATAACTTCTGTTTTCTCAAACCTCTTGTTTAAAAATTGATAGCTGTGATAATGTGTCAAAAGCACTTCTGAAATACTTGCAGCAATTCATGAAATTGTGATAGGCATTTTCTCAGGGATAGTTGTTACAGAAATGTAACTGATATTCATTATCAGAAACTGTGTTGAATTCTAATCTGTACATGTGTACCATACCACACCAACCTCCACACAAGGTATCTTCTTCCCAACAACATTCCATTGCGAACATCAATAAACACTTTGGGGTAAAGATTCAAGTATGAGCCTGATGTACAAAGAATCCCTATCATATTTACATATCTTGATTAAATCATCACATTATAAGCATTCCATGCCACAGTTAACAAATTCATCAGAAATGCATAATGTTCGTACCAAAAAACTTAATGACATGTTGCCATCCCAGTGGCATCGCATAAACCACAGGCAGACTCTCTGAACCAATATAAATTTCGCGTTTGGTAATATGGCATTACACAACTGGCTTTAGGTACAGGCTGCAGTTGATACAAAACCAACATGTCCGCCATGCAGATTAAGATGCTGGCCAGCTTGGGTGACAATCTATACGTTTGTTTTGACACGTTCTCTCACCATTGCCACTAGGAAAACAAACGGTGGGCGTAATCTTACAACAAGCAAAGATCATGTTATGCTATCAGGTAGTGAGGGCACAAAATAATCGCATCACAGCTCTTAATATAGTGCCATTTATTTGGATGGTGGGTGTCAAGGCTGGAAGTGTACCTGCAGTGTGGTCTGGTGGTTGACGGCGCTGGTGTCGGCTTCAGCAATATTGAATGTTCACAATATCAGGTGGTCTCAATTTAATACCGAAACATCTTGTGAATAACTTTTCAATCTGAAATTGGTAATATGAGGTTTTGAGCATGTATCTGTCCACCGCAGGGTGGGAGAGGAAGGTGGGTTTTAAGCTGGTGTTGCCCATTTAGCAGCCATACAATAGTAAAGGGAGTCTGTCAGAAAGTGACCTGGAAAGCAGGGATGACAGTAACAAGAGTAGACTTAAGGATAACAAGAAATACCTGTACAGAAAGTTAAGATAATACTTAAAAGAACTGACCTGCTCTAACAATCTAACCAGCAAATAGGACTATTGGAATAAATTTAGTAGTTTTGTTGGATGTTAACAAGATTGGAAGAAGTCTGAAATACATCATCTGGTCAAAAGTGTATCATAATATATATGATGCGCAACTCCTTCAATTTGATCATAATATGGTAAACATTGCAGCAATGTGCATGTAAACCAACCAGCCTAATATCATGTCAGAGGACACCAAGTATGGATGCTAGCCATGTAGCCATGTGGGAGCCATCAGAACTACAATGGAAGATAATAGACCCTGTGTGCCAAAGATGAACAACATGGCTGCTCTGTGCTCAAGTTGGACAATGTGACTGCTATGTGCTCAAGGTGGACAACATGGCCGCTCTGTGCTCAAGGTGGACAACATGGCCGCTCTGTGCTCAAGTTGGACAATGTGACTGCTATGTGCTAAAGGTGGACAACATGGCTGCTCTGTGCTCAAGTTGGACAATTGACTGCTATGTGCTCAAGTTGGACAACATGGCTGCTATGTGCTCAAGGTGGACAACATGGCCACTTTGTGCTCAATTTGGACAAATATGGCCGCTCTTTGCTCAAGTTGGACAACATGGCCACTCAGTGCTCAAGTTGGACAACACTGTTGCTCTGTGCAAAGGTACAAAACAAGTCAATCTGTTCTGATGCCGGACCGCATGGCCTAAGTTGTGTCAGGTTATTGGACATCTGGGCAATTTGAACACCTCAGTGTATGGTAACCAGCACAGGGTCCCGCGTTAATGGCTAGCCATAACCACATCAAACTGCCATGTGGCTGCCCTCTGTTACAGTGGAAAGCAGACATCCCCTACCCTGACGAATGTAATGCATGACAGCGTAACAATATTCCCATCCTAGTGGAAGAGAAGGAGAGTCGACATCAAAGTACCATGACTACATGGGCCAGGTCCCGGCCTGGAATGCAACAGACAACTCTGTCACCCATCTCTGGTATTTACATCTGTTTTTGTTCATGTCGTCCAATACAACGTCATCTGTTAACCAAATATTTATTGTTTGGCATGCCTGGTCTAGCGGTCTTGTAGCAAGATATCTGAGGGCACTGACCTAGGGTGTGATGTTTGCATGAGATCAACAGCCGAAGAGCATCAGCAAAACATTGTTAAAATGCTATCTCGGACTTACACAAGCAATGTGCACAAAGAATACTCCTGGGACCAATGTGATTGTTACATAAACCATTTCCAACCTTATATTGTACAAAACAAAAGACCCATTAAGTAATGAACAAAAAACAAAGATGGCATAAAAAAATCCTTTCCAGTTACCAATAATATTCCGAACAAAAAAAGTTCAAAATGAATATTTTTAGGGATATTTTTTTGTGGCGTAGACTTGGTTTAATTAAATATGCATGATATACAAAAATATTTCATTACTCCTAACTTTTTTGTTCTGTATATATAAAACATAAACTAATAACCTTCCAAAAAGCTCTGTTAAAAATAATGGACATTGCATGGCAATTAAACATGCAAGTTTGTAAATGTAGTAACACTTCAAACAATGAATCTTGCTTTCAAAATGAAAAAAAAAAATGGCTACAAATATTATACACATTATACGAATTATGATACTGAGCAAAAAATCTCGAGTCTTTACAAATAGTAAATAATTAAATCAGAAAAAGCTGGTATATAGATCCCATGCCAGAAAATGGACTGATTATGCAACGATCAAACAAGCTCTGAATTGAAGGCAAGAGTGCTGAGACACTGCTAGTGGCAAGTCAGCAAATACTGTTATGTACATTTGATGCCAGTACTAAAACAAACAAGTGAGATCATAACATGTACAGCCACACATAGTGTTCGGCTCTCCCACAGCTTGTTTACGCTGCTTGAACTGCAAGGAGCATGCCCTGTCGCAGCCTGCAAAATTCATTTTCTGATAATATAGACAAATACAAAGACAGTCTGGCCTACATACACCACTTTGTCTCGACCACGATCAGAGTTGCAAGTTATCTTAGGACGTTGAAGCTTTAAAGGCTCACATTATTACCAATATCATTTAACCTTTAAAACACAAAAATGGCTAAAAGAAACGTGAAATATTACTTGTTACTTTCCAAAAAAACTAAACGCACTCAGGTGCTCAATAAATAAACAGCAAATATTAACCAAAATAAACAAGTCAAGCTGAAGCAACAGGCACCTCCAAGCAATTCATGCAACTATGTCCAAGACATCAACCATTTATTCAGTACTTTTGAATGAAGATCACTGGACTAAGAGATTATCGGAGACCGTAACCCAGTGGTATATTAGAAACAACAACAAATAGTTGGATCACAGACTGCAGACAAGCTGATTTCACCTGGTATTTAGAAGACAGTTTTTCCACAAGTAAGAGACGAGCGCTAACCCTCACAGGGAAAGAAAGGTGAGGTGGGAGTTAACAAGGTGTTGACCAGGTGAGACTAAGTGTAGCCAGGTGGACCCATCACCTTTATGTCCTAACCAGCAGTAGTATCCTATGCATACATTATCCTCTTCCACACAACACGGAAGTCTGCCACAAGCTCAGGTCATTAGCACGACATCACTTATAAAAGCCAAACATACTGCATGAACATTTTGCACAGACTTTTTTCTCCTTCAGAATGTGAACAAAATACATCAAAGACTTGTAAGGCGACGCTGAATCAAGGCTCCTAAATTCCACATAATGTCAACACTGACAGGTTTTGCACCAATAATTGCATTCAGCAGCTTATGAAGTGACTTGCTAATTAACTTAATTACATCGATGACTTGTGCCAACAGCCCAGTGCTGGATGTAAACACGGGCAATGAGTTGCGTAAGTGAAAAGTAATACATTACCATCACTGTAAGGATGAGGAGGCTGCCCCCGGGTTGTATCACGTCCAGGTAACACATCGTTAAAGGTGAGATATCCAGTGCCAATATCAGGTAAAATCACAGGTAAAAATCAAGGTATGACAGTAGGTCCGTCATAGGCCACTGGGAGAGCATTAGGGGCAAAATTGGGGCTAATTGCAATGATTGCCCACACAGGTATATGGGGGAATATACAGGTGTTAATGAGAAAAAACTCCTGTAACTAGTTTTGGTTTTGACAGTCTACACTCAACACTGTTTCCTAGTCACTAGTCTGCACAGGAGTCCAGAGAGATTACTGTGCACATTGTGCCTGGCCCATGAATGATTGCGGCTTCGGCCAATCACAGTCAATTTATAGCCGACATTTAAAGGGCCCAGTGGCTATTGAAGCGTTACACCAACTGTCTAGCTCACCCTCCGCTATCTCACATGGTGACCTGACGCTCGGCACACACTAAGCAGCTCAGCCCAGCCAGCACTAACACCACTGAGTCCTGCCTCGCACCCTCCACTCCAGGTCCACGCAGGTCCCACACAGGTCAGACAGCGGTCCCACTACACAGATAGGCATGTCCCATCCTGGGTGAGAAGTGGGTAAAACACATGTAGTGTGTTGTGGCATGTAGAAGTTTGTGGTCCATGTGTATCCTCCTTCTACTCCCTCCTTCCCTCTCCACTCCAGTGTTGGTGCTCTCCGTCTGCCCTCACTTGAGTCTGCTCATGCAGCTTATCCGAGTTGCATCACAGCACTAGTGCCAGAGGAAACACTGGTGCCACTCTGTGGGTGCTGCATGTCTTGTGCCTCTGCTCCAAATCCCCTCTGTACCAACATACATTTCTTACATATCAATGAACATTTTTAACTCCATGGGCCAGTTGAGTTCACTTTAAACAAATGTGTTTGCAATAAATAAAATCTGGAACATCAGTTAATGTTCTTAATTGTGATTGAGTGAGTGACTTGGTTATAAACCGTTTTGAAGAGTATTTCAGTTATCTAATGGTGTGTCAGCTTTATGTGGGAGGAAAGCCCGAAGCGATGCAGGTCTTAGATGTTTACCGCTTTTGTGAAACCCACCACTGGTGTGGTGCTGACAAACCGAAAACATAATCAGGGAGAACCGTGTTTCATGATCACAGGGTTGGGCATGCCTAAGGGATGCAACTGAGCTCAGTAAATGGTGATGTGTTTGACAACTGAGCCTTCTGTGCCCCCAAGTGTGAGCATTTGCAACTGAGTTCAGCGAATTGTGTCCCTCAGACAACTGTGCCATCCGTGCCACCCTCACTTTAAAACAAGCATTTAGTTTTACTGGAGTGAGATGAATCCAACTCCTCTTTCAACAGTGTTTCTGTTATATGCATGTCAGCTTAATCTGGGATCACAGCCGTTGCACCCACTAGCAATGGATCAGACAAACCAACCTAATGAGGACAGATTCGTATCTTTTTGAATACCATTTACACCACACCTACCTAACAATGAGCATGTCAACAACAAAGCTGGTATTCATAACATCAAGTCATCCTGAACACTGAAACACTCAAGGCCTCAAACCGTTTTGACAGGGGGACAAATATTTGTCCCCAACTTGTTTTTTCATGATTCAAAAAAAAATTCTATAAAACATCCAGGGGGGCAACTGCTCCCCCTGTCCTACCCCCTCCCCTTGTAGAAACCAACTTATATCCATCATAATATAAAGTTCATTAGGAAAGTTTCTAGACGAGACAAAAGGATTGAGACAGGGATTGCTTGTGGGAGTAAAAAACACAGGTGAGAGAACATAGAAACCATCAGGTGTGCAGTGTAAGAGTCGAGGTGAGAGAGAAGAAGAGATGAAAGCCTACTTCTAAACTTCAACATCATAAGAACTCATTTATCAAAGGTCTGTTAAAACATTGTTAGTTCTTCACTGGTTTCTCCCAGTTAAGCACCCACATGTTTTCAAATTACAAAAGTCATGATTTATAAAGACATCAGTTATTACTGAAACATAGGACACATCAATTTATCTACATCAAAAACCTCAACTTGCTACATCTGTCACGATTGAAAAGCTTGTTCGTCACACCACAGACAATGATAGTCTTCTATTGAACCTCAACGCCCACTGGAATACTTTGTTTACCTATCTATACAGAGTTTAACACTGATCTTCACATGTTAAACAGATACCTTCCTGCCCGCTGGTCACTCAATTGTGCTCAGGCCATTTACGCCCACTGGTCACACGGTTCACTTAACATTATTCTCATGGGCATACAGCCAATTTTCCCGCTGGTTGCCTCAACATCACTGGCCTCTACGTGGTTTCTAGGGCCAGTCGATGGTCAGGGGAACGATGCTATTGTCACATGCAAACTGTCCAACAAGCCCTTATTGATACACAAATAGTTATGATAAAAAAGTCTCACCTCATACACCTTCTTTTTATTTTCTCCATTTCCAAGGAGTTTTCAGAAAACTCAAAGTCAAAAGTAAAATTAAAATGTTAAATACTTCAGATCAAATCATCCAAAACACTAGAATGAGTTTCTGGAAGTAAAGTTATTGAATAAAATATACAGCTACACACTAGTTTTCAGAGTGAGTGAGTGAGTGAGGGAGGGAGGGAGGGAGGGAGGGAGGGAGGGAGGGAGGGAGATGGCAGGACATCAGAGATTAGTTTCACTCATTGTATCCACTTGGAGAATCAAATCTGAGTATTTGTCATGACAATCAAGCGCTTTACCCACAAGGCTTGCAACTTAGAGTAAAACTCATTACAAACAAGCCATTATCTAAATTTTAGGAAGTAGTAAAAAAAATAATTAAACCTGTCCTGCACAACACAGTATATCTTTAAAATGTTTGGAACATAAACAGGGTTATCCCTTATGCCAGAGTACCTTCAGAGATTTGTGGAGGAAGCACATACAATGTGCCTCTCTTCACAGATGATTAGGTACAGCAATAAGTCTGTAACTACACACATGGCAAATAACAAGGAAAACCCATCGAAGAAATTGAGCTGACAATAATTTAACTGTACCATATTTATCTGTAAAATAATGTGAGTGGGGGATATCTTACAGATTTAGCAGATTTATTTTAGGAGAAATTCGAAAAGTAAGAATATTTTTAGCTCCTGCCTGAACAGGCAGAAGATTTATAACTTGACTTTGAAGGTGGTTTAATTATAAAAAATGCTTTTAATAGCTGTTTAATCTTTACAGAATGTGAAGAGTTATCTAAGAGCATGATGATATTCCTCTTTAAATGCAGCATCTCAAGTTAGCGACAAAAACACAAATTGCTGAAGTTACATCGCAATGATTCTGAAAAACATAATTTTTTCGAAACTTAAAAACCCGAAAAATCCTACCATGAGAAAACATTACACAAGGATAAAACATACCTCTGACAGAGTGAAAGAGTTCTGTACTGTTTTTTTAATCATTTTCCAGCAATATATCAGCAGCGGGGAACACCGTGATTGGGTTTCAAACATTGTATCCTTGGAGAATCAAACAATGGTGAACACAAAACGATGTCCACTGGTCTGTATTGAGAGTATTAAAATTTTTCTAAGATAAGTATATTTCAATCTACCTGTCCAAATGGATACAGCAATATGTTGCACTAGGTGCATGTTATAACTACCATGCCAATTTTGCACTTTACAACAAAGGCAAACACAAGGTGACACTGTTAACAGTTTTGGATTATAGTATTAATAACAGTATGCAACTTTTTAAAATATAATAACCACATATGGATATAAGAATGTCTATATCTATTTTTTAATCCATACAAACATGAGTACTTACATATTTTTTTCAATTTCTAAATTGAATTGTTTGATTGGGATTACTTAGAAGTTGATGGATGACAAAGTAGACACAATTTATGGATAACAACTTCTTCATGAGATTACAATGCAGTGAAATCATAGTCTAAAGAGCACTGCTGCACTTCTCCCACTTATCCTTTCAACGAGCAACATCCAACATGTGGTAACATGAGAATTATTTCCCTTTTTGTTTCATACACAGTCAAGTCTTGTTAATCCGACAATCGGCTTTATCTGACACAAATGATGGGAACCGATTAAATCAGTGCTAATTAGACTCTGACATACCTAATTTGCAACGAACTGCTGAAATCACTCATTAATCAGTCTCGTTAATCCGACACAGTGATCAGCGTACTCCATGGTCAACTGCCCACAAGTACACAGCTCTGTGTTTTGATGCAAGACAAGTCGGCAAGTAGCTGCATATTTAAACGGCTGCAGAGATAAACTTGCTTAACAATAAACAATTACTGCTTTAAACAAGTATTTGTCACAGAGTGACGAAATATCCCCCGCCATATACACCATAGTACCAAATATGAAGACAATCCAGCGATTAGTTCTTGAGATATTGTGGCAACACCGTTTTCCAACTCCAAAAACAGATTTGCCTGCTGTGACCTTGAAAATGGGGTCAAGGTCACCAAATCTGACAGGTGTATGCGGTGTCTGTATATACACTATACTTCCAAATATGAGGACAATCCAGCGATTAGTTCTTGAGATATCGCGGCAACACCGTTTTCTAACTCCAAAAGCAGATTTGCCTGCTGTGACCTTGAAAATGGGGTCAAGGTCACCAAAACCGACTGGTGTCTGCGGTGTCTGTATATACACCATAGTTCCAAATATGAAGACAATCGAGAGGTTTAGTTCTTGAGATATCGCGGAAACACCGTTTTCCAACTCTAAAAGCAGATTTGCCTGCTGTGACCTTGAAAATGGGATCAAGGTCACCAAAACCGACTGGTGTCTGCGGAGTCTGTATATACACTATAGTTCCAAATATGAAGACAATCCAGTGTTTAGTTCTTGAGATATCGCGGCAACACCGTTTTCCAACTCCAAAAGCAGATTTGCCTGCTGTGACCTTGAAAATGGGGTCAAGGTCACCAAAACCGACTGGTGTCTGCGGTGTCTGTATATACACCATAGATCCAAATATGAAGACAATCCAGTGTTTAGTTCTTGAGATATCGCGGCAACACCGTTTTCCAACTCCAAAAGCAGATTTGCCTGCTGTGACCTTGAAAATGGGGTCAAGGTCACCAAAACCGACTGGTGTCTGCGGAGTCTGTATATACACCATAGTTCCAAATATGAAGACAATCCAGTGTTTAGTTCTTGAGATATCGCGGCAACAAACAGGTGGGACGTACGGACGGACGTACGGACGGTCGTGAATACTATATCCCCCGCTTCGTGCTTTCGCGCGGCGGGGGATAATAAACAATACAGGATTCATCACATGCCTAGATTACCTCAATCTCATTAAAATCGGATACAAGTTCTCGCTACTGCTGAGGACATCCAATAACAGGTCACTTCAGAACATCAGTTTTGTTTTAAACTTTAGAGGTTGCATGATCAGAAAACATATTCCGCTAACACTTTAACGCAACAATATGAATATTTCCTTTTTCCTTTTTTTATTACAACATGTTTGAATCGTTACCTATCGTGTAGTTTCCAATTTTCAATCACGGACGTTGATACTACCTAATTTCATTTATCCAACATACTCGTTAATCCAACATAATCATATGCAACCAACAATGTCAGATTAACGGGACTTGACTGTAGAACAATGACCTGGCTCAGTGACTCGGGTGATTGATTGCATGTCATCTAGGTGAGGTGAGGTGAGGTGAGGTGAGGTGAAATGGGGTTTAACTTCGCGTCCAAGATTATTGCACTTATATAGCGACGTGCATGCACGTGTGTGGCTGCTTGTACTAGTCCGGACTGCTGCCGATTTATA